GATATGCCCAGATTGTTTAGGTGTTCCGAGTGGTTCCCTGAAGCACCCCGTCTCATTTATGTAAATACACAACAGTTTAAATCGAAATATATTACCAGAATAGATAGTGATGACGTTTCATGAACAATTAATTTCTTTTATTTTGTATTCCACAGTACTCATTCAAGTCATATCCGGCGCAGCGATGTACTTAGAACTTTTAGTGCTCCTCCTTAGTTTTAGTTTAACCACAGATTAAACGTTAAGCATAACTAATTCATAATGACACTAATTTCAATTTCTTAAGAAATATATGCTGGAACAGTCAATACTATTATATTACTATTTATTAATTTATTATAATTATATACAATATGTAGTACATTAAGTTAGAACATGAAATTTTTTCTATTAATGTTATCCTCTATTATTGTATAGTCATGTTTTTACATAAAGATAAAACACTAAATATTTAAAAAAAAACCATTGAAATAAATTTAATCCAAATAAAAGTTTAATCTCATGTACCATTACATATCCTGACAAAATTTTATTGAGTCCTGCACAACTCATGCTTGTTAAAATCAACCATGGCTAACACTCAATTTAACGTAATTGCACATTTATCTGTTTGAACGGAAAATGAAAAATTATTGCACAATGTTTTTGGTGCCCCCATTATATTAATCTACTCTACTACCAAAACGACCAAAAAAGGATATTGACAATAACAAGGATATAGCTAGCCAAATAATCTTCCCACATACTCGCACATGAAATTGTTTTTAACCAACTAAGATACAGGATATCGAGCAAAATAAAGTAAAACTAAACAGCAACAACGTCACCAACAATAACAACAAATATCTGAGCCAATTCAGCAATTATCGGCTTAATTTTATTACCAAGTCATAAACAAGCAATGAGCAATCCAGCCATGCAGACATGGTACAAAGCAATATTGATTCCGACACAACAACAAACCAAAATCCTTCAAACGCTGTTCTGATATAAAATTCTCTATTGCATTCTTAGTGCAAAGATAAATCCTCATTACAAGCACTGCGGGAAACTCAATATTGTTCTGAACTATATCATTTCCTTTGAAACCATTTGTGTTTTTTTTTTTATAAATGAAAGCATACAGACTTAGTTATGTGGAAAAATAGCAAAGTATTTTGTCATCCAAATGAGACAGACCTTTAATTTTTGAGGAAAAAAATTTTGTTTTCATGAAATATTGCTAAATTCTACTAGAAATTATGGTAGATAATTACTCCTACGTATATGAGTTCGTTGCCTTCTATTCATTGGAAACCAAAATCCAGATTAATAAATCAAGATTATACTTAAATAAACCATTTTATCGATGTTACAAAAATGATAACCTTAGCAGAAAAACACTGTCAACATAAACAGTATCTTCCCATATAATGTCATTATTCTTTATTTGTAGTCTTTGATTCTAATAACCATAAGAAATAAAATGTTCATTTATCGCAATCATTTAAAGAAACCTCCGTGACTTCTTTAGGTACAATTTTGGCGAGTTGAGACTTATCTCTCAACTTGTCATTAGTTAATTTTATTATTAATATAATAAAAAAATTTCCTTAAAAAATTCCTTAAAAAATATCATTGTGATTTTAAGTTCTGGAACCGATACAGTAACACCAATCTTTTCTTTTTAGGAGAGAAATCAATTAGTAGTTCCTTTTTTAGCTAGTTCGTTTATACTACAATTTACCTCGAAATCAGTGTACTCGATATATATTTGTAAGTCAAATCACTGAGCCATCTCATTTATGGCAATTAACCACTAACTTCACATTTGATCTCATTGAGTCTAATCCTTTAACAGGGACTTGGCTATTAAAATAAATATATACAGTTGTGGTCCTAAATATATATATATAACAGTAACTTCAATGTATCCACGAATAAAGATTTGTTTCGTTCTTAGTACCGCAAAACCAACCTGTTTACTGAAACAGCCTTCACAATGTCTGATATTGATCGCTTTTTCGACATTAGTAGTACGTTGATCGACTTTATATGGCAACTGTTAAACCAAAGAGAGCGTACAGGTAGCGGACAATTTGTTAAAGCGCTCCACGAGGTTCCTGTCAGTTTTTGGATATTATTTCATTTTATATTTCGTGTAGCTTTTCATATATTTAATATCTTTAAATTAACACATACTATAAATCTAAAACTAATGTCCAACAATTTATATTACAACCAGAATACACAAATATGTTGTTATTATTGGTATAGCCCGCAGGGATCTCTGAGAACAGATAACATGAAAAGAATCAGATGACGAATACATGGGTTAGGATGTGAATGGGTAATGGTTGTGTAAGAGAGGAAGAATTATTAGGGAGAGCCGTGGATTGATGGATGGGTGTGACTTAAATTGAAGTCAACCAGGATCAAGACGGAGAAACCTTGTTAGTATAACTATTTAGTGTCTCAGAGGTAATACAGTCAAACTTTCATAACTCAAAGTCCAATTTTACAAAGAAAAGGTTCGACTTATGGAGACTTTGAGTTAGAGAATTTTTTTAAATTTTTTTTATTTTTGAAAGAAACTAGAATTATATTTTAAGATATTTATTTATTTGCAATCAAATAGTGAAGTAAAATATTAAAAAATTAGGGTTTGGGACTTTAATTCTTTTCTTATTTTCAGTAAAAAAAGATTCCACTTTATTCATACTATTATAGTGATCATCAGTTGTAGTATCATTCATTTGCAAATATAAATTCAGAATTTTAAATAAGTCTTCTACTTCATTCTTGGAAGGCTGTTGATCAATTACATTCTCATCATCACTTTCCGTTGCGCTTAGAATTTGATCCAGTAATGTAGTCATCTGTAGGAAAGCTTGATGTACAAATTTCATCGTCAAACTTAATGTAATTATTAAGAGTAGCATTGGAAGTTATTTTATTTACTTTAAATCACGTTGCCACCGACTGGCATTTGCACAAAGGAGCAACATAAGAAAGAAAAAATTAACAATTTGGTTTGGAAAAAGGGACTTTCTATAACACCAAAAGCATTTATACTTAAAACAAAGATTTTACTTATAGAATGCACTTTCCCATATTCCTATCGGCACGGGACAAAATTTTTATTCGAATTATAGAGAAATTCAAGTTACAGAAGTTCGAGTTATGGAAGCAGAATTGAATGTAATTTGCTCTTTAAAACCTTGGTACACTCTTTTTGATTCCTATTATAGAAAATTCGAGTTATTGAAGTTCGAGTGATGGAACTTTGACTGTATTTCGAACCTAAGGAGTCGCACGTAAGTTTTATAAATAATATACACACTCGGAAAGATTTCTACTGTATGCTAAGTTACCAGAAAAATTAGAATAATATTTTTTAATTCTGTTGACGTTCCTGAACCTAAAAAGTCAAAGCATAAAAAATAAACATATATCTATTATAACTAAACTCTGGTATATTGTATACATTTACTTATTCCTGTCACAATTTTATAAATTATAAAATCATATTGTATTATTTGTGTGTTTAATAAATATACGCATAGAATTAATATCAAAAATATTAAACAAGTTGCAAAAATAATTAAATTATTCAATAACAAAAAGTAAAATAAAATATTAATTAAATAATTAAACTAAACCATTTTATGTAAGTTATATGTTTCTATCAATAAACATTTTATAAAGCTTTGTAAATTTACAAATTAAATATTTAAGATGTTCAAAAATTTTATATTCAATTATTCTTTAAAACTACATTAAAGCAATTGTATTAAATTTTAAGATTTTTAACGCACAATTTGGTATTTTTTAAATCTAAGAACGTAAAGAAGCTAAACGTGTTTGCATTTCCTCCAATTCCTCTTCCTCCTCTTCTTCAGCTTCATGTCGTACTGTAGCGGCGGGTGTTTCTTGCTTTTCTGCTGCAATACCTTCCGGCGGTAGCGGTGCTTCTCCCAGTTTACCATTAGTTATTTCCCAAAGTACGTTATCGACTTCCTTAGCAGCTTCCTCTTCCATTTCTTCTGAGTCCTCAAGTGAATCCATTGTTTCATCGAGCATTTCTTCAATAATACCCGCTTTCATCATTTCTTTCGACATATCACGCATTATGCCAGCCAATTCAGGATAACGTACTAAACTTTGCATAGCCTGCATCACTTCTGTAGATTTTTGCAATGAACCAGCAACTCGTAAAGTCGCTATAAAATAATGATAAATTTATACAAAACATTACAATTTTTTAAATAACGCAACTTACACAACTGATTTTTCATTTGTAATTGTACTGAGTTAAGATGTGCTTTTGACGTGTATATACGATTAATAGCCTTACGTGCCCCAACAATTTCTTTTGCCAAAATGATGCAAGTGTCCCGGTCATTTTTGGACGCAGCTTGCTTTAGCGAACGTTTTACTTTCTCTTCCTCGCGTTGTATGCTGCGTATTTGGCGGTCCAACTGATTGCCTTCTTTGCGTATTTTATGCGTCCATTCTTGTACCTAAAGTATATACAATTTTTAAGTACAGTTTTATTGTTTTGGATTGGAAGAGAAACCGCGCAGATGACGTAGTTGCATTTTTTACGACCATGAACTAATTTATATACGGCAAATGATGTCACCTTATGTATTGAATATTAAAAACTTACTTGCTCCTTTGGATCTTTTGTTGGTGTTTTACCAAATAAACCCATTTCTATTTTTTTATTTTTTTTTTGTAATATGATCTTTAAAACAAACTGTTAAATTAATAAAACTACTTAAAGTGACTCATTTACTTGATTTGTTTATTTGTTTGTGTCACAGTAAATGTCATTTATGTTTTGACTTTACGAATTCTTCTTGCAGCTGCGCAGTACAAGCATACTTTAATGTAGATTTATTCAAACATTTTTAGAAACATTTAATATATATTATTAAAAAAAAATAAAACAAAATTCTATTAATTTGTTAACAGCAACCTTAAAATATTGTTTTTATTATATATATTATACTACGCATTAAATTGATAAAATTTGACAATTGTGTTTTTACAAACTTTATTTTGTACTCTTAAAAACTGAATTGTATAGTACAAACCAATATTTTTTGTAACAGCTGTTTTGGAGGTTATGTGTGCAAACAGCTGTTCATGTCTCTCGCACACGCTCATTGCATCACCACGAGATGCAAAATTTTGTGTAAAAATATATTTTTTGTTTATCTTAATAAATTGTTAATAAAATCTGCATCTGACATGCATAACTCACGGAGAGGCCTCAGCCTGTTATGTGCTCTGAATGTTAAATCTCCGATTAGTCAACTGAATCCTACAACTACAGTGTTAATCAGCAAATGTGTTCACCGGAGCAGCTACCAACAAGCAAGACATAAAAAGAACAATAACGCAGCTAATGTTTCTACATTATTTAAACCAGTGCCGGTGCGCCATAACACAGACGAACTAGATGTCGGCGCTGAGCTCGTTGGAAAACTAGACAAATCTGATATATTAAAAATTTTAAATAAGTTTACACAAAGACGGGAGATAAAACTGCTCTCCAGTGAAAATGGACTTGACTGTAAATTAAATATGTTCTTTTTTAAAACAACTCATTAATATAATAAATTTACAGCTTATCTATTACAACAAGCATTTGCTTCGTTTAGACGTTATTGTATTGAAGCGGACAATCTACCTGTAGATTTACACATAATATTTAGCGATATCAGTCAAGGTGCTGGACATATTGATGACATATTTCCGTACTTTTTAAGACATGCAAAAACAGTGTTTCCCCATTTGGATTGTATGGATGATTTAAAAAAAATATCTGACTTAAGAACGCCTGCTAATTGGTATCCCAGTGCACGCGCTATTACACGAAAAATCGTGTTTCACGCCGGCCCAACAAATTCAGGAAAGACTTACCATGCTATGGAACGTTTTTTAACTGCTAAAAGTGGTGTATATTGTGGCCCGCTAAAACTACTAGCAACAGAAGTTTTTAACAAATGTAATGAAAGGGTAAATTAAAATTTAATTAATTTATCAAAATGACTACATAAATAAACCAAAATTAATAGGGCACACCATGTGACTTAGTTACTGGAGAGGAACGAAAATATGGCATTAATGAAAATACACCAGCAAATCATGTCGCGTGTACAGTAGAAATGACATCTGTTAATACACCTTGTAAGTGTAGTTTTGAAGTTCTGCATAACATTTCGAAAATAAATTTTTTTTGCTTTTTAGATGAAGTTGCTGTTATTGATGAAATACAACAATTACGTGATCCTCAAAGAGGCTGGGCATGGACACGTGCATTTCTCGGACTAATTGCTGATGAAGTACATGTTTGTGGTGAAGCTGGCGCTTTGGAGCTGTTACAAAAAATTTGTGAAACAACAAATGAGACAGTGGAAGTACATAATTATAATCGTTTAACACAACTCACTGTAGAAGACTCAGCATTAGTGACACTTGACAATGTAATGCCTGGCGATTGTATTGTATGTTTTAGTAAAAACGACATATACTCTGTGTCTCGGCAAATTGAAGCAAGGTAAAAGGGTAATGAAGTTTGAACAATTTTTTATAATAAATGTAATTAGCTATTTTACACATACGTAGAGGAAAAGAAGTAGCTGTAATATACGGTGGCCTGCCACCTGGTACGAAACTTGCTCAGGCTGCTAAATTCAATGATCCTGAAAATAGTTGTAAAGTTATGGTTGCTACAGATGCTATTGGAATGGGACTTAATTTGTAATGACTATATTGAAAAATTATTTAACTAACAAATAAAACTAAATTTTATTTACAGGAGTATACGTCGAATTATATTTTATTCATTGGTAAAGCCGTCGATGAATGAAAAGGGTGAACGTGAAATTGATACAATATCAGTCTCATCAGCTTTACAGATTGCAGGTAGAGCAGGAAGATTTCGCACACAATGGGAACATGGTTATGTGACAACTTTTAAAGCAGATGATTTGCCGGTTTTAAAAAAAGTTTTATCACAATCACCAGATCCACTTAAGCAAGCTGGCTTACATCCGACTGCCGATCAAATTGAGTTGTATGCTTACCATTTGCCAAACTCAACATTAAGCAACCTTATGGTACATATTGAATGTTATAATATATTGTACTTTATAATTATCTTTACTCTTTTGTTTGTATTTTAAGGATATATTCGTAAATTTATCTACCGTCGATGATTCACTATACTTTATGTGTAATATTGAAGATTTTAAGTTCCTGGCTGAAATGATACAACATGTACCATTACCTTTACGTGCTCGATATGTGTTCTGTTGTGCACCAATAAATAAAAAAATGGCATTTGTTTGCTCCATGTTTTTAAAGGTTTGATCATTTACTTAAATTGCAAAAATTTGATAAACATTAAACACTTTAACAAACTAGATCGCACGTCAATATAGTCGCAATGAACCTGTTACATTTGAATTTATAACCAAGAATTGTGGCTGGCCATTTAGTTTACCAAAAACCATTTTAGATTTAGTACATCTCGAATCAGTTTTTGATGTAATGGATCTCTACTTATGGTTAAGGTAATTAGTTTTATTTTAATATTTAACTAACTACAGATTAATGTTCTTTTATATTTCTTTTAAGCTATCGGTTTATAGATTTATTCCCAGATGCACCTGCAGTACGTATTGCACAAAGAGAATTGGATGAAATAATACAGCAAGGAGTTTTTCAAATAACACGTCTATTGAAGAATACCGAAGCTAATCAAAATGCTAGTGACGGTGACACCACATACAATATGCGTAGAACTACACAATTTAAAGGTAATTTCTTAATAAGTTTTGTTAAAGTTTTTGCTTTATTTATTTTATTAATATGTTTGTGCTTTTTTTTTAAATTAGAACCTCGCGTACCAACCAATATGCGTGGACGGTTAACAGAACGTTTATTAGCTCAAGGTTTACTTACTCCTGCCATGTTAAGTGAATTAAGAAAAGAATGGGATAGGCAACAACACTCACTTGAAGAACGTAATTTTAGTAATACATTTGATGACAATGAAGATGATAATGAATATAATGACTCTACTCATAAGAAATTTCGGAGGAAACGTAGAAAGTGAATTTAGCTCTGATATATTTAGATAGTTAATAGAATTTTACAAATATCATTTGTAGCCAAATCATAATTATTTGTAGCTTATAAAATTTGTTTTAAAATTTTAGTTTATATTGTATAGTAAATTTTGAAATATATTTGTAAGCTTTAAAATAATAATGTGTAACATTACAATATCGTAAAAAATATATTAGTAAAATCAGTATCTATTTTATATTTATTAAAATGATAAAAGCTGATATCTTGTTACTTATTATATAAAAGATAATTTAAATATATTAAGATACTAAATTTTATTAAATGTATTAATATTAATTTTTATAATGTTTTGTATTAATAGAACTGGGTTGTGTAACTTAATTATCCAACAAAGCTCAATTCAAATTTCGAATAGATCGAAATGAAATCCTTTTTAATTTATGAACATTAAACACTATATACCACTAATTCGATTCCCATTTGGGAACAATATTTAATACATCCTCTTTTTTTTCTAGTCTTTGATTATTATTAAGTAGTGTATGCGGGTAATGTTCGAATAGTTACTTATACATACAAGTAGCATTGTTGTGACATGGATATCTGTATGAAAAATGTTATACTCACTCTAAAATTAAATTGTGGTATATAAATATATATATTTTTTAAAACCTTATTAAAATCTGTCAAATTTAATTCAAATAAAAGTATTTATTTTAGACCCATACAAAAGACTATGTCCACTGTTAGCCATACATATTTATATGTAATGATATAAAACACTATCACACATTATCTTTTCATTACACATCGTATTCAGCTTAGGATGCTTGTTTGGTTGCAGTAGCAGGTCATCAGCTAAATTTCCATGTATCTCAATTAGCGGTTTTTCGCCGTTATTCCACCAAATTTCTCGCAATAATCCCCTAAGATAAAAGAGTACAAACTAAATCCATCCCTTTGAATTTAGATAATTTAATAGGTCTTTCGTCTTTACCGATGGAAACTCTGATAAGCTGTCAAAGAAATACCTCATTAAAAACCTATTTCAGAAGCCAAAGCCAAGCATTCACAGAAAAAGTGTTCAATGGTTGGCTTTCCTGCAGGTTTCCACAACTTCCGCAGTAAAGATCATGAGGAATGCGTGCGTTCCTATACACCAATGAGCAGAAAAGACTGCAGTAAGCCCTGTAGTAATCGATCTCTTTTGATAAGTTTCCAAGATCTAGTTTTATTTTAGGCGTGCCATGTTAACCAGGAAGTTGCACATGACTTAAATGCATTCCATGTGTTATTGGCAAGCTGAAGAAAATTGAGGTAAGTTCTTCTTTTAACGAACCAAGGTGGGCTAAGCCATCAGCTTTCTTGTTCCCTGTAATGTTCACATGTCTAACCTGGGTTAATTGTGTAATATTTTTTTAGGCAGACAGGAGACTTAATCGTCTTGAAAAGAATATGTCCTGAACGGACTATTTGCTTAAAATATGTAAGATATTATTAATTTAGAATATAAAAATTAAAACTAATTAAAAAAAACAACAGTGTTTTTTATTTTTATTATTGGCAAATTTTATTTTGTAAAATTTTATATATTATTTTTTATTTTTCTGTGTTTACTGAATTTAAAAAATTATTATAATTTTAAAAAATTCATTTATTAGCTTATATTTTATCTATTTAATTTATTTTTATAAAAAATCTTGATCATTAAAAATGTGCTAATTTTTTAACTTTTTGTTTTGTTTTTTGTTTTACCAAAAAGAAATGTATTATATATTAATACAATGTGATAATATTACAATGTATTTAATTTTAATACAAAATATTATTTTATATCTGCTTCATAAATTTTTTCAAATATATTTTTTTTAGTTGTTAATTTAATCTTATGAAGTAAATTATTATTGTTAAATTTTTTTTTTTTTGTTTAAAAATAATTAAAAGCAGTTTAGTTTGTTTAAAAAATGTAAAAAAAATTATATATAATATTTAATTGTTAACAGTCAACATACATATAAAAGAAATTCTTAGAAATCTTTTTTAAGAGTAAATAAGCCAATTTATGTTAGTACCAATTCCAATTTTTATATAATTTTTATAAGAAATTTAAGTTTTTCTTTTAACAAATTTTTTGTGTATTTTTTACTAAATTTCGTTTCCAATTACGACAGTCTCAAGTCACGCTTCAAAATTTGACAAGCGTTCAGGCATTTCTTCAGCGAGAAAAGTGATTATGCTCGAAAAATTAAATTTTTAACATTTCCATATTTAAATATAATATAATTATTATTTAAATATAAGATTAATATTTTTTGCATAACAAAAATACAGCTTGTCATACACAAGACAATTTACAATTAGCTTAGGAGTATTACAAAAAATATATATGTATATATATTTATATTGAATATTTTTACTGATTAGATTTAGTAGGTACAAACACATCCATAAAGTTTTATATATAATAAATAGAAATCTGTTCACATACACATATATTAACATATATATAATTATACGTAGATCAGATATCAAGACACAATACATTTTAACACATGATTAGTAATTAAAACGAGGTAAAAAACATTTATGATATTAAAAATATAATATAAAAAGAGATCTTAGACAATTAATTAAGAACTACAACAATATTTATGTATAAAAACTCTTTTAATAAGATTTATATTTAACAAAATTTATTACATTATATTATATTATATAATTATGTTATTAAAGCTGATTTTAATATTATATTTGTAACTACACTGCTGAATATTAAGTAATTTATAGCAGCTCAGTGCCAATTTCAAACAACAAAAATATTATAGATACTTATCATGAATCAGTATAAATGATCTGATCCAAACATTCAAAGAAGTTGGATCAGCAAAAATATGATCATGTTTTAGGATTTCATTTAAGAAAAACATTAAATCTTTAATTTTAATGATCAGGCATGGGCTGACTTTTGATATATAAATATTATTGATTTTGATGTTGTATGTATATAAGTTTTACTAATAATATTATTTAGGTATATAGGTTAATAGTATATACATCAAAATAGTTGTTAATGTTTTCAAATCTAATACATATCGATAAAGTTTAATATGTATGTATGTTTTTTAATTATACATTATGTATAATTAAAATTGTAATCGAAATTTTAAAATCTTTATATGAAAAATTGAGTAAGATATTGTACAAAAATCTAATACTAGACCCATAAGTATCTATTATTTAACATTTTCAAAATTTTTAGTTTTGTTCTTGTGGAATAAAAGATCGGACCGAGGCTAGTTCGTTTCAGACAAAAGTAAGTAATCCATTTTATACACACATGTTCTAAAAGCGGACCAATATTCAAATTATTTACGTACAATAGTTCGCAAAGTTTTATATGCCTATGCCATGTCGGACTAGTAAAAGACTACTCTAACACTAGTTATTAGCAAACGAAGACTAGTATGAACTAGCTCCTTTTTATTTGAAAATAACTAAATAAATAACCAACACAAGATTACTTATCTCTAATAAGAGTTAGAATTACGCATAAAAACCTTCTTAAATTTTTCATTCATACAATATATTATAAAGTAATTTATATTACATTATAATATATAATATTATATATATTATATATAATTACACATATTATATACATATATTATAATATATACATGTATATATGTATATATATATATATATATACTAGTATATATGTATATTAGTTATTCCTCACAGGAAATTAGAATTACGCATAAAAACCTTCTTAAATTTTTCATTCATGCAATGCATTACAAAATAATATATATTACATTATATTATATTATATAATATATATAATATATAATACATATATAATATAATATATATTATATATATTTACACATAGTATATACATATATTATAATATATACATATATATATATACTAGTATATGTGTATATTAGTTATTCCTAACATTACGCATAAGAACCTTCTTAAAAATGCATTCATATAATATAAGGCTAAATAATTTTGTATTTTTTATTTTTAGTTATGTTCAAATAAAAACGAACTAATTCATACTAGTTCTCGTTTGCTAATAACTATTAACTAATAATATATATATATAAGTCATATATACGTATTTGTTATATATTATTTTCTTTTAAATTGATAAGTATATATCATTATAGTTGTACTACTCGTAATACTTTACTAAATTTGTGAATAGTATCATGAGAACAAATAATAAATAATAATAAAGAAATAAATTTTAAGTCTTAAGTTTTATTTCATTGAAGAGACCTACATTCATTTTATATATGAAAAAAAAACAAAATAAATTGTTTAAATAGGTGATCTAAATATTTTTTATTTGTATTTAAAAAAAAAAATATATATATTTGTTTTCCAGAGAACTTTCCATCCCTTCTATTTATTGTTTTATATTAGATCTATTATCTATTAACAATTTGTATACCTTTCAAAAACAATAGTAATCATGCGAATACCTAAATTAGTTTTTAGCAGTGAAAATATCTAAAAATTTTCATATATGAATTGCAAGAAAGTTTGTGGAATGGAAAATTTTTTTTATTTCTTTGATTTAATTTCTATGTAATATAAGCATATATTTTAAAAATGTCAACCACTTCCGATAACAAAAATCTGGCAAATCCTTGAACTATTAGTACTAATGTAAGTACCTCAAAACTATCATATGACAATATCTGGGCAAATTTTATTATTTTTATTTCTTTTTTATTATTTAATAAAACTTATTAAATATACATTTAATTAAAAAGTATAATACGTTAATAAAGTCATACAGGATTAATTCTGAAGGTTCCTAAATATTTCAAATTTCATTCAATTTTAATTACAAAAATAATCTATAAATTTCTAAACTATCTTCTTCCTTGCAAGCTATATCGCTACTAAGTCAAATCTTTATGTAGAGAATGATTAGAATTTTTGCTGATCTAATATAGCTTTTTTTAATACTTTTTAATTCTAAATTTATTGTATTATGTGTCCCTAAAATTCAATACTATTTAGTTATCTACCTAAAGTATTTTGTAACTATAATAAAATACTTTTAAAAAATGTACATATTTTATATCTGAACTTCTCT